TTAGTAGAAAATGTAAGTGAATGAGACACAAAAAGCCATTTAACCATTAAAAAAGAATAGACATTTTGGCTATCACAAAATTAAGAACTTTTTCCATCAAAAAGTGGAAAGATGGGCTGGACATGGTATCTCAAGCCTGTAATCCCAAACACCTGAAGTCAGGAGTTTGAGACCAGGCTGGCCAACATGGTGAAACCCAGTCTCTAGTAAAAATACAAGAAATTAGCGGGGCATTGGTGGCAGACACCTGTAATCCCAGCTACTTGGGACGCTCAGGCATGAGAATTATCTGAATCTGGGAGGTCTAGGTTGCAGTGAGCCACTGCACTCCAGCCTGAATGACAGAACGAGACTCTGTCCCCCCAAAAGTTTAAAAATTAAAAAATAAAAGTTAAAAATTGAAAAGATAAACTATAAACTAGAGCAAGATATTTGCAGTACCTAAAACCTATGAAAGATTAATATCATATCAATAAAGTATAAGGAGCTCCTGTGAATTAATTTTGAAAATAGCAACCCAACAGAAAATTGGGAAAAGACATTAATAGGGATTTCACAAAAGAGAACGTCCCCAAAACATAAAAATTTTCTCACCCTCATTAGTAATCAGGAAAACGCACAAGATACTACACATCTATTCTCTCCAGAAATATTAAGAAGTTTTAAAATACCAAATGTACTAGTCCACATTCACACTGCTGATAAAGACATATGTGAGATGGGGAAGAAAAAGAGGCTTAATTGGAATAAGGGTTCTACATGGCTGAGGAAGTCTCAGAGTTATGGTGGTGGATGAACAGCACTTCTTACATGGCAGTGGCAAGAGAATATGAGAAGGAAGCAAAAGAAGCAAAAGACAGAACCCTTGAAAAACCCATCAGACCTTGTGAGACTTATTCACTATCACAAGAATAGCATGGGAATCTCCGGCCCCAGGGATTCAACTACCTTACCCTGGGTCCCTCCTCAAACACGTGGGAATTCTGAGTGATACAACTCAAGTTGAGATGTGGGTATCATTCTGCTCCTGGCCCCTCCAAATCTCATGTCCTCATATTTCAAAACTTATCATGCCTTCCCAACAGTGCCCCAAAGTCTTAACTCATTTCGGCATTAACCCAAATGTCTGCTGTCCAAAGTCTCATCTGAGAGAAGGCAATCTCTTCTGCCTGTGAGCCTGTAAAATCCAAAGCAACCTAGTTACTTCCTGGATACAATGAGGGTACAAGTAATTGAGTACATATAGCTGTTCCAAATGGGAGTAATTGGCCAAAACAAAGGGGTTACAAGCCCCATGCAAGTCAGAAATCCAGCAAGGTAGTCAAATTTTAAAGATCCAAAATGATCTCCTTTGACTCCATATTTCACATCAAGGTCATGCTGATGTAAGAGGTAGGCTCCCATGGTCTTGAGTTGTTCTGCCCCTGTGGCTTTGCAGGGTATAGCCCACCTCCTGGCTGTTTTTATGGGCTGATGGTGAGTGTCTGCAGCTTTTCCAGTCTCACCGTGCAAACTGTCAGTGAATATACCATTCCGGGATCTGAAGGACAGTGGCCCTCTTCTGAGAGCTCCACTAGGAAGTGCCCCAGTAGGGACTCTGTGTAGGGGCTACGACCCCACATTTCCCTTCTGCACAGCCCTAACAGAAGTTCTCCATCAGAGCCGCACCCCTGCAGCAAACTTCAGCATGGCCTGAGTTCTATGTTGGCTCCTTTCAGCCATGGCTGGAGGTGCTGAAATGCACCACACTAAGGCCCTAGGCTACATACAGCAGAGTCAACCTGGGCCTGGCCCAGAAAACAATTTTTTCCTCCTAGGCCTCCAGGCTCATGATGGGCGGGGCTGCTATGATGACCTGTGAAATGTCCTGTAGACATTTTCCCCATTGTCTTGGGGATTAACATTCAGCTTCTTGTTATTCATGCAAATTTCTGCAGACAGCTTGAATTTATCCTCAGAAAATGGGATTTTCTTCTCTATCACATTGTCAGGCTGCAAATTTTCCAAACCTGTATGCTCTGCTTCCTTTATAAAACTGAAGGCCTTTAACATCACCCTAGTCACCTTTTGAATGCTTTACTGCTTAGAAATTTCTTCCAGCAGATACCATAAACTATCTCTCTCAAGTTCAAAGTTTCACGAATCTCTAGGGCAGGGGCAAAGTGTTGCCATTCTCTTTGCTAAAACATGAGAGTCACCTTTGCTCCAGTTCCCAACAAGTTCCTCATCTCCATCTGAGACCACCTTAGCCTGGACCTTATTGTTCATAACACTATCAATATTTTTGTCAAAGCCATTCAACAAGTCTCTAGGAGGTTCCAAATTTTCCCACATTTTCCAGTCTTCTTCTGAGCCCTCCAAACTGTTCCAACCTCTGCCTGTTACCAAGTTTCAAAGTCGCTTCCATATTTTGGGGTAACTTTTCAGCAGCACTCCACTCCACTGGTACCAATTTACTGTATTAGTCCGCTTTCACACTGCTGATAAAGACATACCTCAGTCTGAGAACAAAAAGAGGTGTTAAGAAAAATAACTGTAATTGGATTTACAGTCCTACATGGTGGGGGAGGCCTCGGTTATGGCAGGATGTGAAAGGCACTTCTTACATGGCAGCAGCAAGAGAAAATGAGGAGGAAGCCAAAGCAGAAACCCCTGATAAACCCATCAGACCTCATAAGACTTATTCATTATCACAAGAATACCACAGAAAAGACTGGCCTCCGTGATTCAATTACCTCACCCTGGTCCCTCCCACAACATGTGGGAATTCTGGGAGATAGAATTCAAGCTGAGATTTTGGTGGGGACACAGACAAACCGTATCACCAAATACGGAGAGACTGTGGATCAACAAGATCATCTCGAACTTATGCAGAATGTGAGAGTTTAAATTAGAACAACCACTTTGGAAAACAATTTGGATTATCTTATAAAGATGAGCAAACTCATATGTTATGGCAAAGTAATCCCTCTACCATAGGCCCGGGAGAAACTCTCGTGCATATGTTACAGAAGTAGTAAAAAAAAAAAGAAAAGAAAAGAAAAGAAATGCTCATGTAATACCATTCATAATAGCAACAATCTGGAAATAAGCCAAATGTTTATTAATAAGAAAATGGGTAAATTAATGGGAGAATGGGTAAATAAATTATACTCTTAAAAAACTAAATAACATGTCATTTAGGGCAATCATATATATGCAATAAAACAATGGTTTTTTAAAGGAAGGGAATCCTAAACATAAATTCAGGGTAGTACTTACCCTGGGGCTGAAGGGTGTAAATCAGGAAAAAGGACAGAGGAGGAGCAGATGTTAGGATCAGGACCTTAGTTCTTGGTTGTGTTGTGAGTTCACAAGTGATTACCATATTATTCAAATACATTCAAATACATTTACATAGATGCCTAGGCACAGACAAGGATTAAATAGGAGCCAAGGTATGCTATGAGCCAAGGATTATGATTAATCAAATTTTATGCACTTTAAACCATTTGAAAAACAGAAAAGCAAAACAGCAAAATAATTTTTAAGAAATTGAATATAGGATGCTATGTTCTGAATGTGTCCCCCTAAAATTAATCACCAATGTCATAGGATTAGGAATAGGGCCTTTAGGTAGTGATTCAGGCATGAAGGAAGAGTCTTCATAAATGGGTTTAGGGTCCTTACACAAGGACTGGAGGAAGTGGGCTTTCCCTGTTTTGCCCTTCTGCCTTCTGCCATGTGAGGGCACATTGCATCCCCTCCTGAAGACACAGTGCACAAGGCACCATCTTGGATGCAGAGACCAGGCCCTCACCAGACACCAATCCTGCTGGCACCTTGATGTTGGACTTCCAGCCTATGGAACTGTGAGAAATACATTTTTGTTCTTCAGAAATTACTCAGCCTTGTGTATTTTCTTATATAATAACACAAACTCATTAAGGCATAATGCCTCTTGTCATTTTCTTCTACAATTTTCTTTGTTGCCTCTTTACACTGGGTCACTTTATATTTGATCCTTCATAATATTTCTTACTTTTGGTTTTTCACATTTCTGTTCCAAGTGTATTCTTAAATACATATTTTTCACTATTTGTTAGTATCCAGGTCAGAAAGTCCAGGATACATTATTTTAAGTGTTTAGTTTCTGCAACAACATAAGTACTAATGCCTCCTGCAAACTAGGTATTTCCTCTCCAATTGTAACTGCCATCTGGAAGCAAAGTGTAATTACAGTCTATGAATGCAGGGTTGATTTTTAGTGTACCCAGAGTGTGGTTCAATGTTGGTTTTTAATCATGCAGATACATTGATTGCTTGGCACACAAGTGTGTCAATTGACAGTTATCTCTGTATTTATCCATACTGTTACAGAGGGAAGGTACAGACTGTGAAGTTGGACCAGGTATCACACCCACAACATTTGGGGATCTTTGATTTTTTTTTTAACCTTTAGCTGCTTAACTGTCACATGTAGCAGCTCAGCTGAAAGCCACTTTTATTGGGGGACTTTCCCTTAGTGCTCTGTGGCGGACAAGAGCAGATCTATGTAGAAGCATTTAAATATTTTGTGCATCAACAGGAAAATTAAAGGAACAAATTTTTATTGTGTCTTTTAGTCCCTGAAGACAAAACCACAGTGACAATAACTAGGTCATGGCATTGTATTCAGAGAGGGTCAGCCTTGGCCTTTGAGAGTGAGTCCCCTTTACCCCACTGTCAAGACTCACTGAGCAGGCCAGGCGCTGTGGCTCATGCCTGTAATCCCAGCACTTTGGGAGGCCAAGGCAGGCGGATCACGAGGTCAGGAGATCGAGATCATCCTGGGTAACATGGTGAAACCCGGTCTCTACTAAAAATACAAAATATTAGCCGGGCATGGTGGTGGGTGCCTGTAGTCCCAGCTACTAAGGAGGCTGAGGCAGGAGAATGGCATGAACCCGGGAGGCGGAGACTGCAGTGAGCCGAGATTGCACCACTGCACTCCATCCTGGGCGACTGAGTGAGACTCTGTCTCAAAAAAATAAAATAAAAATAAAAAACAATAAAAACTCACTGAGCAGTTGGGAAAGTTCAGGTGGAACAGGCAGTGAATAGCAAACACGGTGGGGGCGTTCACTGTCATGAGCGGCCATGCCGGCCATAGTCAGCAGACCTGTCTTCTGCTTGGCAGCAGGCAGGTTGATAAACATTTTCTTGGAGAGTTTCTTGATTCTTCCCAGTTGTGGCAGGATGGACTGACTTAGAAGAGCTCAGGAAGGTTGTTAAAGAACACAGAAAAACAAGATGAATTGTACTCCTTAGCAGGCCTAGGTTAGAGCAGCATGTCCGTGAAGCCTCAGCCTATCCTGGGACACAGCATAATGCCCCTAATGATTTGAAATTTGGTGGAGAGTGGGTTACTAATCCCTGTGTCCAGGGGGAAAAAGGGACATCAATAGCAAAAGGTTATAAAATAAGTGGGCCTAACATCAGCTTATTGCGGGGGGTAGGGATTTAAGATGTAAGAATTTACCTGCATGTGGAAGCTCACACCTGTAATCTCAGCACTTGGGGAGGCCAACGCGAGAGGACGGCTTGAGCCCAGGAGTTTGACATGAGCCAGGCAACATAGTAAGTCCCCATTCGCACAAAAATGTTTTTGAAGAAAAGTAGTTGAGAGTGGGTACTCATGCCTGTAGTTCCAGGTACCTGGGAGGCTGAGGCAAGAAAATCGCTTAAGCCTGGGAGACTGAGGCTGCAGTGAGCTATGATCACAATGCACACCAGCCTGTGAGTCAGGAGACCCTAGCTGGTGCCCCGAAGCTCCCCCTCCACTGGTAGATGTCGGCTCAAGTAGGTCCTGAGGACAAGAGTCTCGGGGGTCTGGCCCTGAAGGCTCCGAAGCCCCCACTCGCACAAAGACCCCTATTATATCCGCACTCCAGCCGCCAACACGACTGCCACAGAAGCCCCCGCCCAGGCGTCAATGAACCTGTTTAAAGGGGCCGCAGCCGGAATTGGAACAGCAAAGGCGTCGGCCTGGGCAATACGCATGCGCGTGGTTCTACCCCATTCTCCTGTCACAATGACTCCAACGGTTGGCTGAGGACAACTCCCTGAACTTTAACAGAGCAGGACCCCTCCGTGGCAGTGCCTCAGTGTCCAGACACCAGCCTGACCAATCCAGGGGGTCGAAAAAACAGTTTCAGGACAGCCTGCTACACCGAGGGCTGACCAGGATGGAGAAACAGCAGACAGAGAACAGGGAAAGCAGAGCGGAATCCCAGCCTCAGGCCTCCCGGACGATGTTCAGGTGAGCCCCCCGAAAGCCGTGCCCCCGTGATCTCGAGACAGCTCTGCCTGTGTGCCCGTGGGCTGCTCTCTCACCTGAAGGTCGTGCTCCCGAAGAACAGAACCCCTCAGCCTCAGGGATTGTCTGGGGGTGTGTGTTTCTCTGCCATTGCTGTATGTCTGTGTGCGTGCGTCTCCTCTCTTCTCTCTCTGCCTCTCACTGTCTGTCTGTTTCTCTCGCTTTCTTTGTCTCTGTGTGTGTGTGCCTGTGTGCGTGTGTGTTGGGATGAATGTGTCCAGGGCGCTACAAAGCAACTTCTTGCAGGAAGGCCGGTCTTTGGTGAGCCTCTTTCTGCCTCCCGGGTTGGGTCATGTGCCGGTTGTCAATCCTTTCCGTGGCAGTTCCACTCTGGCTTTGTGAAGGCCTCGATAATGTGAGCAGATGCGTCCGTCTCAGGGAAATTGATTTTCATTCCGATCCTGAGCAGCCTCTTTTCCACGATCAAGATGACCACACTCCAGCCAAAAAAAGAAAAGCCTCAAAGAGCACATTGTCCTGCAGGAGGGGAGCAGACCGAGGTGAAAGGAGATGGTTCTATCCCCTTGCGTCTCTTCTCAGAGGAATGAAGAAACACCACGAAACAATCTTAAAGAAAAAGCTGAGAACGGGAAGCGAAACCGTGTCTTTCAAAGGCACGCAAGTCTCTCAGGATAAGCCACCTGATTTGCACTCCTCCCCTTATGCCTGAAGCAATGGTTTCCAGGAGTTCTTCAATGGTTTCCATCTGCTCTAGGGGACGCCAGTGTCATATGTGGTCACATTGGCGCCACTTCGGAATCGCCTCTGGACCTCTTTACACGTGTGTGGAAAGCTGGAACAGCTTGCAGGAGCCCCAGGCCCTTTATAATCATGGCAGCCCACTGCTCTTTCAAAGGAGGGAGGCAGAGGGCTCACGGGTCAGAGAACTTTCAGCTCACACCACGCCTTGGGGCTCATGTGATCATTCTGGGCTGAAAAGAGGCCATGCCTGCCTCAGTAGATGTGCTCAGCAAATCCATTCTCCCCCGGAGGGGTCCAGAATCGGATCTGATGGGGGGTTGACCCCAGCTGGCGCCCTGAAGCTGCCGCTCCGGCGGTGGAAATCGGCTCAAGGAAGTCCTGAAGACTGGACCCCTGGGGGTTTGAACCTAGGAGGCCGCCCGCAGCCGCCTATTGCACGCGGCCCCATACTGAACCCCGGATGCGGCCGCTGGCAAGGCTGCAGCAGGAGAGCCCCTGGCGCCCAGCGGCCACCTTCGTTTAAAGGGGACGCAGCCTGACTGCCGCGGAGCGCTGGTCGGCCCAGCCAATGCGCATGCGCGAGTGGCGAGCGGGTGCTCTTGCGTCACAGTGGTTCCCATGGTTGTCAGAGAAACCACGCCCTGAGGCCTGGCACACAGGAGCCCTCCGCGGCGGCAGTGCTTGGGTGGCGGGGCTCCGAGGCTCCAGCCAGACCTCTCCACGGGGTCGACAGGACTGTCTCCGGATGCCAGGAGTCGTGGCAAAGGGCTGAGCAGGATGTTGAAAGCCCAGGCGGAGTCCGGGGGAAGCAGCGCCGCATCCCAGCCTCAGGCCCGCCCGGACGCTGTTCGGGTGAGTCTCCCCAGAAGTCGTGCCCCCCGTGATCTCGAGGACGGGTCGGCCTGCAGGCCCGTGGGCTGCTCTCTCAACCGAAGGTCGTTCTGGTCGAGAGCCGAACCCTGTAGCCTCAGCGGCTGCCTGGGGGTGTTTGTGTCTGCGCCACTGTTGTATGACTGTATGTGTGTGTATGTATTTGTGTGTCTCCCATTTTCGCTTCTCTCTCTGTCTCTTACTCCCTGTGAGTTTCTTGCCCTCTCTCTGTCGGTTATTTTGTGTGTGTGTGTGTGTGTGTGTGTGTGTGTGTGTGTGTGTGTGTAGGAAAGTGCCCTGTGCGCCAAAAAGCGATTTCTTGCCTGTCTGCCTGTCTTTGGTGAGCCTCCCTCCGCGTCTATGCCTGGGTCATGTGTCCGCTTGTCAACCGTTTTCTCGGCGCTTCCACTTTGGGTTTGTGAAGGCCTTGACCAGGTGAGGAGATGTGTGGCTCCCAGAGCAGTAGAAATCTCATCCCCATCCCGTGCGGCCTCTTTTCATGGATCAACATGAACACACTGCAGCCAGGGAGAAAAGCCGCAGGGGGCTCATTGTCCTGCAGGAGAGGAGGAGGCCCACATCACAGAAGAGGCTTGCATCTTTTCAGGTCTCTTCTCTGAGAAAAGAAGCCACACCAGGACACAGGCTGAAAGAGGAAGCCAGGAATGGGAGATGGCCACGATCCCAGTCACGGGAACGCTGGCCTCACTGGACAAGCCACCCGTTTGGCACCCGTCAGCTTAAGCCCCTGGCAGAGGTTCAGTGGCCCGTGGCTGGATATCTTCCATAAGGATCGCTTCCTAGTCCATCAGGGAGACACTTCCCGGAGATCCCTGCCATGATTGTTTCTCTCTGTAAACCTGCTTGGGTTGGAGCCGATTTCCACCGGGGGAGGGGGAGCTTCAGGGCGCCTGCTGGGGTCTCAGGACTCCACTTCAGATCCGATCCTGGAGCCTCCGGGTGAGAAAGCATGGGCTGAGCACATCCCGTGAGGCAGGCATGGTCTCGCTGCAGCCCACAATCATCCCACAGGCCTCAAGGCCTGCCGTCAACTAAAAGTTCACTGAGGCATCTGAGCCCTCTGCCTCCCTCCTCCTTTGAAAGACAAGTCCTTGCCTTCTGGGACAGGTGCTGTCGCATTTCCTCTGCACACCCAGTCTCATTCCTGAGAAGGAGACTCCCCTCTGCTCCTGGGTGGACTGCCCCCTGAAACTTTTGGCCCCCTGCTAGATCCCAGGCATTCTTTGATTTTCCCTGGCATTCATGGAAAGATCACCTGTGCCCCCCTTCCATGGGGCACATGCCTGGACACCATTGTTTCGTTCGCCATCGCCCCGTGTGCCCTCAGTGACACACGTTCACACCATCTGCTCTAGGCTACACCAGTGCCACGCATTGGCTGCACCTCGGAATGTACTGCAGGCTTGCTGGGCTCTGGGGCTGCCACCTGGTTTCTTCCTCTGGATGTGACTGACCTTCTCTGTCCTTTTGTTTAAAAAGTTCACAAGCTGGCATTGTGCATGACCTCTCTGAGCAGCAGACTCTGGAGGACGTCTCACCCAGCTTTCACCCAGCCAGTCTCCAGCTGGCTGGAGGAAACTAAATCGTGGTTGTGTGCACCAGCAGTAAGAGCTACAGGGCACAGAGGAAAGCAGAGTTTCCTGTGGATTGAGCTAAAAGATTGCAGCAAACGTTTTTGAGGCAGATGTATTTAATCCAAATCCTGGCTCTGCCATACACTGTGTATGGCAGGTTGTATTTTCCAAAGATGCCTGCAACAATGTCTCCAATCTCCCATGTTATTATGGTACATGACCTTGCCACTCCTTCCTCTGAGTAGTATACCCTTCTCTTGAATTTGAATGGGCTCGGTACTTGTTTGTAACCAAAAAAAATGGCAGAAGTGAGAGAAGTAAATAGTGGGATTTCTAAGGCAAGGCCAGAAAAGGTGAAGTCACTTGTCCTTGCTTGCTGAAATTCTCAAGCTGGAGTCCTGAGCCTCCATGTGAGCAGTCTGACTGCCCTGAGATCCTGAGCCTATAGAAAGAGAGAGGAGAGAGATTCCTAGCCAGCCTACAGCTCCTCCAGCACTCTACTGTTCCATCTCCAGCCATTGTCTGACTGCAACACACCACTCTCTAAGCTAGAACCAACCAGCTGAGGCCTCCTCAAATTTCTGACCCACAGAGAACATAGGAAAATAGCTATTGTTTTAAGCTGCTAAGTTTTGGGGAGATTTTCTAATGTAGAACTAGAGAACTAGAACACTGTGTGACTTTGCATGAGTCATTTCATTTTCCTGAGTTGCAGTTTCCTGCTCGCAGTGTTGTTGGAATGAAGAGTGTAACTGCACCTAGTTGATGAATAACATAGGGATTGGATGAATGAATGAATGAATGAGGAAGAGAGAAACCTGATCCCTTTCTCACCAATCAATACTGAGAGCCAGACTTAAAGCAACTGTAGGAGGTAGCTTTGTAAATCAATCCTCTTGAACTCTGCTAGGGGAAAGGGGATGGGCTGTTCCAGCAAAATGTGCCACTGTAAGGTATTGATCATTTTGGACAGGATCTGTTTAGAAGCCAGTGTTTTAAAGATGTGCATTGTCTGGGACAACTCTCTTCCCTTCCCCCTCCAACCCTATTACATATTCCCTAACCCTGAAAGTCTCACTCTAGATTATTTACTGCAATGGCCCTGTTTGAGTCAAGAAATAGGACATGGGCAGGAGGAGAGGAGGGATTGAACATTTTCAATTAAAACAAGCTGTCTTTGAACAAAGATTTAAAATCCAGGCAAGAAAGGCAATAATTCTCTTGGCTGGAATGCTTTCCACTGTATTGTAGAATTAAGAGATAAAAAATTGGGGGTGAAAACTCCCAACTCTTCATTATAAACAAAAATCTCAAGATGGTCTGTAAGTTAAAAATCTCGTCATTTTCTGGTTCCTATGTAGGTCATTGATCTGCTTCTCAAAAATGGCAGGGTATAGCCAGCCACATGGGGAAGATGGAATCAAGACACTTACGGCAATAAACTAGAATTCAGCTGGGATTGTCCAAAACTTGGACTGATTCTGTACCTTTCACACAGAGCTCTTTTGAAAAAAAGGGCAGGTGTAAGTATCCTCAGCCTCCTATTTAATGGGGTCCTTCAACAGGTAATAAAGGTTTGAACATTTACTGTTCATTCTCATTCATTCACTCATTCCTTCACGCATCCATTCAAATGTTTGTTGGGCTCCTCCCATGTATATACTGCTATGAAGAGGACAGGGATTGGGGTTAAAGGAAAATTAGACAAATACACTTTATAGCCTAGAGAAGGAAACTGACATGTTCCAGTTAACTATATTACATGTGATGTAGATCACATGGCAGATCAACAAGCAAAAGAAAGGATTCTTCAATAAATAGAATAGAAAAATAACGGTTATTACATAGGGAAACATAATGAAATTATATTTCACTTGCTCTATATACAAACATTAAATTCCAGATGGACTGTGACTTACATGTCAGAAACAAAACTTTTAAAACTTTTAGTAGAAAATGTAAGTGGAATGAGACACAAAAAGCCATTTAACCATTAAAAGAATAGACATTTGGCCATCACAAAATTAAGAACTTTTTCCATCAAAAAGTGGAAAGATGGGCTGACATGGTATCTGCCTGTAATCCCAAACACCTGAAGTCAGGAGTTTGAGACCAGGCTGGCCAACATGGTGAAACCCAGTCTCTAGTAAAAATACAAGAAATTAGCGGGGCATTGGGTGGCAGACACTGTAATCCCAGCTACTTGGGACGCTCAGGCATGAGAATTATCTGAATCTGGGAGGTTCAGGCGGCAGTGAGCCACTGCACTCCAGCCTGGTTTAACCCAATCTAGAATTTCGTCTCAAAAGCTTAAAAATTAAAAATAAAAGTAAAAATTGAAAAGATAAACTATAACCAGAGCAAGATATTTGCAGTAATTTAAACCTATGAAAGATTAACATCACATCAATAAAGTATAAGGAGCTCCTGCAGAATTAATTTGAAAAATAGCAAACCTAAACAGGAAAAATTGGGAAAAAAGTATATTTACTAGGGATTTCCACAAAAGAGAACGTCCTCTAAAACATAAAAATTTTCACCTCATTAGTAATCAGGAAAACGCACAAGATACTATGCCATCTATTCTCTGCGAAATATTAAGAAGTTTTAAAATACCAAATGTACTAGTCCACATTCACACTGCTGATAAAGACATATGTGAGATGGGGAAGAAAAAGAGGCTTAATTGGAATAAGGGTTCTACATGGCTGAGGAAGTCTCAGAGTTATGGTGGTGGATGAACAGCACTTCACATGGCAGCAAGTGTGAGACAGAAGGAAGCAAAAAGAAGCAAAAGACAGAACCCTTGAAACCCATCAGACCTTGTGAGACTTATTCACTATCACAAGAATAGCATGGGAATCTCCGGCCCCAGGGATTCAATCTACCTTTTACCTCCTGGGTCCCTTCCTCAAACACGTGGAATTCTGAGTGATACAACCCAAGTTGAGATGTGGGTAATTACCCTGCTCCTGGCCCTCCAAATCTCATGTCCTCATATTTCAAAACTTCTATCATGCCTTCCCAACAGTGCCCCAAAGTCTTAACCTCATTTCGGCATTAACCCAAAATGTCTGCTGTCCAAAGTCTCATCTGAGAGAAGGCAATCTCTTCTGCCTGTGAGCTTCAAAAATCCTAAAGCAACCTAGCTACTTCCTGATAAGCAATGAGGGTAATGCTAATTGAGTACATATAGCTGTTCCAAAATGGGAGTAATTGGCCAAACAAAGGGGTTACAAGCCCCATGCAAGTCAGAAATCCAGCAAGGTAGTCAAATTTAAAGAGCCAAAATGATCTCCTTTGACTCCATATTTCACATCAAGGTCATGCTGATGTAAGAGGTGGTGGCTCCCATGGTCTTGAGTTGTTCTTGCCCCCGTGGCTTTGCAGGTATAGCCCACCTCCTGGCTGTTTTTATGGGCTGGGATGGTGAGTGTCTGCAGCTTTTCCAGTCTCACCGTGCAAACTGTCAGTGAACATACCATTCGGATCTGGCTGACAGTGGCCCTCTTCTGAGAGCTCCACTAGGAAGTGCTCCAGTAGGGACTCTGTGTAGGGCTACGACCCCACATTTCCTCTCTGCACAGCCCTTAATCAGAAGTTCTCCATCAGAGCCGCACCCTGCAGCAAACTCTTGTGCATGGCCTGAGTTCTATGTTGGCTCCTTTCACATGGCTGAGTGTGCTGAAATGCACCACACTTTTAAGCGCCTCAGGCTACATACAGCAGAGTCAACCTGGGCCTGGCCCAGAAAACAATTTTTTTCCTCCCAGGCCTCCAGGCTCATGATGGGCGGGGCTGCTATGATGACCTGTGAAATGTCCTGTAGACATTTTCCCCATTGTCTTGGGGATTAACATTCAGCTTCTTGTTATTCATGCAACTCTGGCAGACAGCTTCTGGAATTTATCCTCAGAAATGGGATTTTCTTCTATCACATTGTCAGCTAAAAAAATTCCTTTCAAACCTGTATGCCTGCTTCCTTTATAAAAACTGGAAGGCCTTTAACATCACCCTAGTCACCTTGAATGCCTTTACTGCTTAGAAATTTCCTTCCAGCAGATACCTATAAACTATCTCTCAAGTTCAAAGTTTCTCCACGAATCTCTAGGGCAGGGCAAAGTGTTGCCATTCTCTTTGCTAAACATGTGAGAGTCACCTTTGCTCCAGTTCCCAACAAGTTCCTCATCTCCCTCTGAGACCACCTTAGCCTGGACTCATTATGTTCATAACACTATCAATATTTTTGCCGTGCCATTCAACAAGTCTCTAGGAGGTTCCAAATTTTCCCACATTTTCTGTCTTCTTCTGAGCCCTCCAAACTGTTCCAACCTCTGCCTGTTACCAAGTTTCAAAGTCGCTTCCATATTTTGGGGTAACTTTTCAGCAGCACTCCACTCCACTGGTACCAATTCTTAATGTATTAGTCCGCTTTCACACTGCTGATAAAGACATACCTCAGTCTGAGAACAAAAAGAGGTGGAGCAGAAAAATAACTGTAATTGGATTTACAGTCCTACATGGTGGGGGAGGCCTTGTTGGTGGCAGGATGAAAGGCACTTACATGGCAGCAAGAGAAATGAGGAGGAAGCCAAAGCAGAAACCCCTGATAACCCACTTGTGACCTTCATAAGACTTATTCATTATCAAGGAATAATACAGAAAAGATCAGCCTGTGATCTAATTACCTCACTCCTGGTCCTCCCACAACATGGGAATTCTGGGAGATAGAATTCAAGCTGAGATTTTGGTGGGGACACAGACAAACCGTATCACCAAATACGGAGAGACTGTGGATCAACAAGATCATCTCGAACTTATGCAGAATGTGAGAGTTTAAATTAGAAAATGTCCACTTTGGAAAATAATTTGGATTATCTTATAAAGATGAGCAAACCTTTGCTATGTTATGGCAAAGTAATTCCTCTACCATAGGCCCGGAGAAACTTCCTGCATATGTTACAGAAGTAGTAAAAAAAAAGAAAAGAAAAGAAAAGAAATGCTCATGTAATACCATTCATAATAGCAACAATCTGAAATAAGCCAAAATGTTTATTAATAAGAAAATGGGTAAATTAATGGGAGAATGGGTAAATAAATTATACTTTAAAAACTAACAATATGTCATTTAGGGCAATCATATATGCAATAAAAATAATGTTTTTTAAAGGAAGGGAATCCTAACATAAATTCAGGGTAGTACTTACCTCTGGGGCTGAAGGGTGTAAATCAGGAAAAAGGACAGAGGAGGACAGATGTTAGGACTGGTGGACCTTAGTTCTTGGTTGTGCTGAGTTCACAAGGATTACCATATTATTCAAATACATTCAAATACATTTACATAGATGCCTAGGCATGACAAGGATTAAATAGGAGCCAAGGTATGCTTGTTAAGGATTGGTGATTAATCAAATTTTATGCACTTAAACCATTTGAAAAACAGAAAAGCAAAACAGCAAAATAATTTTTAAGAAATTGGAATATAGATGCTATGTTCTGAATGTGTCCTCAAAATTAACTACCAAATGTCATAGGATTAGGAATAGGGCCTTTAGGTAGTGATTCAGGCATGAAGGAAGAGTTCTTACAATGGGTTTAGGTCTCATACAAGGACTGGAGGAAGTGGGCTTCTGTTTTGCTCCTTCTCTGCTCTCTGCCATGTGAGGGCACATTGCATCCTCCCCTGAAGACAGTGCACAAGGCACCATCTGGATGCAGAGACTAGCCCTCAACAGACACCAACTTCGCTGGCACTTTGATGTTGACTTCCAGCCTATGGAACTGTGAGAAATACATTTTTGTTCTTCAGAAATTACTCAGCCTTGTGTATTTTCTCTTACATAATAACACAAACTCATTAAGGCATAATGCCTTTGTCATTTTCTACAATTTTCTTTGTTGCCTCTTTACACTGGGTCACTTTATATTTGATCCTTCATAATATTTCTTACTTTTGGTTTTTCACATTTCTGTTCCAAGTGTATTCTTAAATACATATTTTTCACTATTTGTTAGTATCCAGGTCAGAAAGTCCAGGATACATTATTTTAAGGGTTTAGTTTCTGCAACAACATAAGTACTAATGCCCTCCTAAACTAGGTATTTCTTCCAATTGTAACTGCCATCTGGAAGCAAAAGTGCACTTACAGTCTATGAATGCAGGGTTGATTTCAGTGTACCCAGAGTGTGGTTCAATGTTGGTTTTTAATCATGCAGATACATTGCTTGGTACACAAGTGTGTCAATTGACAGTTATCTCTGTATTTATCCATACTGTTACAGAGGGAAGGTACAGACTGTGAAGTTGGACCAGGTATCACACCCACAACATTTGGGGATCTTTGATTTTTTTAACCTTAGCTGCTTAACTGTCACATGCAGCAGCTCAGCTGAAAGCCACTTTTATTGGGGGATTTTCCTTAGTGTCGTGGCGGACAAGAGCAGATCCATGTAGAAGCATTTAAATATTTTGTGCATCAACAGGAAAATTAAAGGAACAAATTTTTATTGTGTCTTTAGTCCC